ATAGATCACGGTTGAGAATGATGAAATTGTTTTGCGAAAACCTGATGTTTGGTGCACTAAAAATAATTTATTTTGCTCGTTTTTTTCTATGAATATCTATAAATTTAATCATCCAGAATTATGAACTCGAAACTTTTCAATTATCAAATTTCTAGTTGTCATCAAAATATCAACTTCACATTGTCTCATTCTGAAATGAAGATTTTGCACTATAACGAATATATTGATAATAATTACAAAAAAAACTACACCCATCCATTACAAGTCATATTCAGTCTAAAAAAATGATTTTTCACTTCTATCTTGTTGATTGACGTTACGCAACTGCTTTCGACTAGTTGTCAGAAATTCTCTATGATGATCAGTTTTTTATTGATGTTTTCATTATTAGAATATCAAAAAAAAATGTTGAGTTTTGTTATAAATTTTTCGCTAACTGATAGTCTGAGACAACTATGAAACGTTGAAGTTTATTGAAGAAATGTTGTAATATAGTTTTTGCCAGACATTTAAACAAGTACTTCAAGGTTAGTCCTAGTATTTTTTTTTCAAAGTCGTATTTATTTTTATTATCACTGTATTTGTACATTCTAATAAATAAATTGTCGAAATAGTTTTTGAAACCGTCTGTGTTTAGAGCTCTGACTGTTTGTTCTGATGTTTTGAATATTGGAGATTCATCATTATAATCAAATTCCATGAAGTTGATTCTTGCAAGAAGAAGATACACAAACTTAGACCGGTAGAATACAGAGAATTAGGATATCCTTTCGCATAATATTGAGTCCAAAAATTTATCCGTAGCTCAATGTCGAAGCGAGCTCTTGTTATTATTGTGAAAGATGATAACCGAATGGTCAATGTTTTTTTCTATTTGAATAGTACTTTGAAGACATCGTCTCATCAGACTCTTACAGCATAAACTTGAGTATGTCAAGTTTTATGAGGAAAGTTGCTCTTATTCATTTGTCACAACTTTTATGACATAAAATTATGATTCATCAACAATAATTAATATTGAATCTAAGGCTCGATCGTGTTTTTTGAGATCGCTCCAGTATCTAATGAAAAAATCAAATGCGCAACTGTTTCGGTCATTAATTCGACGAAGGCAAAATAATAATATAAACTTTACAGTAGAAATAAAAATTTTTATGTCCATGATATTGTCTGTCTGTTGATATATTGAATGACGAACATATTCAATTAGTGCTCAGACAGCATCAATTGTTTCTTTTGTTTACAATGCTTCTAAAGTAACCTCAAGGGATATCACATTCAGTACTCTCATTACTCTGTGACAATGCATTAAACTGACGGAGAATTGCACCGTTTGAAGATGTTTGATTCCCTCATGTTTGACACCAAGCTGTTTTAACTTTCCTTTTACGTGTAGCCAATTTTTCCAGTTGCATAAAATTATAATCCAAATTTCTTCGTGTGAGAGCTCAAAATTCATATCGAAAATAATGTATGACTAAAAAGGAAATACATAATCTTAAACATGTTTAGACATTATCATAGAATGAGTACTTTCAAATTAAATCGTTTAAGACAACTGGATGAGAATACTTTTTACTTGTCCTATGTAATTTATTTTGCCTGTTTATTTTGCATTATTAGCATTAATGGAATTGACAAATCTTTTAATAATGATTTCAACTAAGAAAATATCCAAATGATGGATTTTTTATACACAGACCATATCTTTATTAATAGAAACCAGATATAAAACAAAACCATTGAAATTGCTCCATATCAATTGCTGTAAATTGATTAGTGAAAACAATTTTGAAAGATTTCTTCTTTCATTCTTAGTGTTAATACATATGGAGTGTGATGATTGTCATTTTCTATTGCATCAGAGTAACTTTTAGCGTATGTCATAACATTTTATTTTCTCTTCATTAAAAACTTATGATAATCTGATGAAATAAACAACATTCAAAGAGAAAATTCCTGTAAATCTCGTATTTTTAAAGTAGTCCGTTGTTATCTTGGAGTAATTTAAGATGATCAAGAAACGGACCACATTCCTTATCCACATAATTTGCATAAATTAACAACGTCTCAGCCGTGACGAAACATTTTCGTGCATCTTCTCCTTTTCTTAATTTCATATAACTTTTGCCCAATTTAATGATATCTTTAAAAGTATGATGCATGAGATGAACGAGACGATCAGTCTTATAGTCAAACATTTTCATACAATTTTCATATTCGTTCTCAAGAGCCTATTCGATTAAATATTTGATATTGGCACAGAACGATTTCTGAAATAATTTGTTTTTCGTGTGTATTAGATGAAATAGAAGTTATTTATTTGTCCTTCTCACTTTCAATTAATGCAAATGCTTTATCATTTGTAGAAAGAAATATTATTGAAACGACATTATTCTCAAAATAGTAGATAACTTCATCGATATTGTTAGATGGTACAAAAGCAATTGGTTTAAGGTTTGATTGAAACAACTGTTTGACAGCTTGGTATTGTCCCATAACATCAATATAAGTATTCAGCCAGATGATGCATACACCATTTCCCAACATCATTTTGAACAATTAATTGTATAATCTATAATAAGAAATTGAAAGGCATTCAAATATCATCAAACTTTGCATCTTCATTTGAAATATTGTTTTTAGAGAAAAAACATATGATTATCATAAAAATGGTGACTCATGAGTGAAAAGTTATCGATTCCTTCCGCGAAAATATTATTGCAAGTGCATCACCTGTCTAAAGGTGTCTTATCAACAGAGCGAACAAATGTATACTTTCTTCTTGCCTTCTGCACGTTGTACATCGACGATAAAAGCGCTGACTGAATGAATAAACAGTACTGCTTGAAGTATCCATCGAACTTTAACAAATACTTGATATTGAAGTTATTGAGCGAAGTATTTTTGCATGTTTGATTTAATTGATAAAAGTTCAGAAGAATGAAACATTATACATCAAAATTTCAGCGTTTGATTCTATTCTCAAAATGGACCTTCATATTTTCTGTCTATTTTTGTTATAGAGCAGTTCAAGAACCATAGAAAGTCCCAGAAAAAAAAGGAAGGCTTTGATAGAAAACAAAAATATTTTTTGTCTTCTCCTAAATCCATTTGCAAAGTCAATCAAAACTGTCGAACTTGTTCGCTAGATAGAGTGAACACTTTGTTTAGCACAAGTAATGTAAGACAGAGCTAGTTTTTAACAATATAAGTCTATTCATATATATTTTCAGAGGATGTGAATGCGTAGTGAATAGAAATAATAACACAAAGAACTTGTTGTTTTGCAATTTATCTGTCGTCTGTTTGTAACAAAAATAGTCGCCGAAAAAGATTAAGTTCATGTTATTTGCAAAACGCTTAGTGTTGAACTTTTATCGTGTGGTAAATATAAGACACTTAAACAACTCAATCATCGTAATAAATACAAATTTGTCCTTTACTGGCTGAAAAGATCGTGAGAGAATGTTTGAAAGTATATTCTAAATAAGTTGCCTGAAAACAATTGGACGTGTCTATATTCAAAGGGAGAGTTGTTCTTGAAAGTGACGATAAATTCAATCAATTTCTAAAAGAATGAACTAGATTCGATTTCGAAGTTTAATCTGAAAGTCCAGAATATGATAGTCAAAGAAAACACTTCGTCAATTTCATTGTGTCAAAAAATATTTACGTATTGCAGATAGATTTTTGTTACTGATTAGTTCACGAAAGCAAAAGAAGAATTCTTTTATTTCAAAAAGGTCTCTACTGAACTTGAATGAACGCAGCTTATAACAATAAATCTTTTGAAAAGAAGCATTTCATGTATTTTTTTTTCTCTTATATATTGGTACATGATTATATACAAATCATTAATTAAAGCATTGTGACGCATTATTTGAGACTATATTTCTCATAATAGCATCGCATTGTTAAGAAAATAAAACCTAACGAGACTAATTCGTTACTTAGACAAATAAAATCAGCAATGAATATTTATAAACGAACAATATTAAATATTCAACATATTCATCAATACCACAAATCAAAGTTTTTAATATAAATCAAACTTATATTCGAAATGATGTCCCTATAAACGTATTCATTACATAATGACTCTTCACATGATTATTTGATAAAGAAAAACAAGGTCTCTCAATCTAAACAAAGCTAACTTCTCCACCGGATTTCATTATTATGTCAGATTTTATATTATCCATCTGAAATAAATCGATGAATTCATCAATATCAGACTATATAAGTTCATTGACAAAAGAAAAGAAATGATGTTTATATCACAAATTAGAGTGCTTCATTATTTTCTTGATAGCTAGTTTCACAACAACCACATAATCACTCTGAATCCAAATCAGATCAGTTTTAGTGAAAATCTTTTCATCGATCCTTCCTTTCATTTCTACCGGTCTCGGGACACCTTTACATGAAATCCAAATGTCAACTATATTCTAGACTGTACTGAGCAAGAAAAACAAATCATCTAAATGTAAAAGTGTAAGTTTATTATCATTTTTGTGTCCAACGTTGCTCTCGTACACTTGCACATCGAAAATTGTTTTTTTTTTTGATAGCTTATAAAAAAATGCAGAAAATAAATGATGATAACTAACGTCCTCTATACTAATTTTCATCTTATATAATTCGTGCAATAGCGAATAGCAAGGAAATTTTGTGTGGTCTTTACATATCAATGTATACGAATATATATTAGTCGAATAATACATTATAAGAGGAAAAACAAAACAATGAAAATAATTTCTTCATTCATGACTCATCAATATCGAATAATAGTAATAATTATTATACTATCGCTCATTCGCTTATACGATCTATTCAATTTTGACTATTCTTTCTTTCATGTGAATTTTATTTTATCTTTTTCTTGTTGTTTTCTTTTATCTAATATGCTCGATATTCAATGAAGACACTATTTTATCTATAAAAATGTATTTTATATAATAGATTTCAGATCTAATTGCATTATTAAATAAATTACAATGGAAATTAATGATCAAAATCTTGAAGCACTTGCAACTTATTTACGCAAAACCTTATCTCCAAACGGGGATGAACGTGCAGAAGGTAAAAATTTCATGTTAAAAAAAAATCGATTTTTCATTTTAAAAATATTTTTTCTTTTTTTTTAGCTGAAAAAACTTTAAAACAAATTGAACGAAATGAAAATTATTCAGCATTATTATTAACATTATGTGAACGTTCAACAATTCCAGATGAAATTCGACGTGCATCTGTAATAACATTTAAAAATTTTGTTAAACGTAATTGGCCATCACTTGATGCATCATCATCAACAACAAATCCAATATCAATACGTGATAGAAATTATATTAAAGAACATATTATTGATTTAATGACACGTTCACCTGAACATATACAACAACAATTATCAGATGCAATAACAGTTATTGGTAAATGTGATTTTCCTGATCAATGGCCAACATTACTTGATACAATGGTTCGACAATTTCAACAACCATCAACAGGAAATTCATTTCAATCAATAAATGGAGTTTTAAAAACAGCACATTCACTTTTTGAACGATTTCGATATGAACAAAAATCTGATGAATTATGGTTAGAAATTAAATTAGTTCTTGAAAAATTTGCACCAGCTTTTACAGATTTATTTAAAGTAAAAATTTATTTTTCTTAGAAAATTTTTTTAAATATGTTTTTTTGAAAATTTTTTTAGTCATTAATGGCTTATTATCCACAAAAAGAATCTGATACAATTGAAATGAAAAATATATTTGATTCATTATATGTTTGTATTAAAATTTTTTATGATCTCAATGCTCAAGTAATTTACATTCGTTTTTTTTTATTTTATCTAATAAAACTTTTTTTTTGGTTTTTTTTCTTTTCAAGGAATTACCAGAGCATTTCGAAGATAATTTAACACTTTATATGACACATTTTATGACATTACTTTCTTATGATCATCCAAATTTACATTCTACTGTATGTATAAATTTTAATAGAATTAAATATTATATTTATTTATAATATTTTAGAGACATGATCCTGGAATATTAGATCGAGTTAAAACAGAAATTTGTCGTGCTGTTGCTCTTTATGCTGATAATTATAGTGATGAATTTAAACCATTTGCACAACAATTTGCTTTAGCTATTTGGTCTTTATTAACACGATTAAATCTTTCACCATGTTTTGATGATGTAAAATTTGTTTTCATTTTTATTTAGCGTATATCAAAAGTAGTAGTGAAGGATATTTTAAGTTCTTTTTAAAAATTTCTTACTACATGAAGAGTTACGGTTTCTTAACTTCGACTTCGAAAATTAATTTAATTTTTTATCCTTCATAATAGTTTCAGAAGAACTATGGATAAAATAACTTTATAAATAGAGTATTAGCCTATTTAATAAGCTAATGATGTAATCTAAACCCATGAATATCTAGATGTTTGTGTAAAAAAGAGAAACAAGTGATTCAAAATTCACTTGATGTTTTTTGTTTTTGCTTCTAATATCTGATTAAATGTCGTTAAGTATACATTTGCTAATTGAGAATGCAGTATTGATGTCAAACGTCATACTTTGTCCATACATAGATGAATGCTTTTTTATCACAATAACACATGCTCACCATTTTGATAGTTCATTTTCCTCGTTATGTATTTAATTATATCATCAATAGACGAAATTTTTACTGTAAACAAATTCTCTTACGAGGGAAGGTCACCAACTGTTCAATCGCTTTTCAGTCAGAACTATGTGCATCATGTAGGTCCTAATGAGCTATGAATACCCTGAAAAGAGTTCGGGTGGCTAGCCCATTACTGTCGAGATACTGCATTTTTACGATATTGTTAAGCAGAACGCCGTGGTCCCCCACAGGAGCACCAAAAAACTGAGTTTTGAATTTTGACTTGAAGTTTGGCACAGAAACAGACCTTAATGAGAGTGGCTTATTTTGAAAGTTTCAGATCTTTTGGTTGCTCCTATTCTGAAATAAGCACATCGGAACCTGTCGCGGGTATACGAGCAGTGTAAAAACACCCTTTTTAGCTGTATCGTAGGATAGGAACAACCAAAAGGCCTGAAACTTTCACAATAAACTACTCTCACTGAGATCTGTTTCTGTGCAAAGTTTCAAGTCAAAACTCGAAACTCAGTTTTTCTGGTTCCTGAGGGGGACTACGGCATTGTGCTTAGTTAAAAATACCATAAAAATGCAGTATCTCGACAATAATAAGCTAGCCGTCCGAACTCTTTTCAGGATATTCATAGCTCATTAGGACCTACATGATGCACATAGTTCCGACTCAGAAGCGATTGAACAGTTGGTGACCTTCTCTCGTTAGTAAAACAAAATTGTCTTCTACTTCTATGACCTATTGTTAAGTACAACCAGTTGCTCGAACCATTTTTCGTTCATATGTATGTAGTAGATTGAAAAAGTAAAAATGTTTCGAACTGTCGAGATCTTACTGATTGTTGTTGAATACTCGACCTGGTTGCAGGATATTAGTTCAATGATTTCGTAATAGAAAAAAGAAGTTTAAGAATATATTAAGCCTTGAGTTTTTTTTTTCTTTCTTTAATCACATTATTGAGTGCGTAAGAAACAACATCAATCTCATGTTATTGTCGTAATAGAAAAAAAAATAAAAGGGAAGGAGTGAACCGGTAAAAATTAACGTCAAAATAATGCACGTATTTTTGACACATATTGTTAAATGACTACGTACTTTGCTTTGAGCTATTTTATAACTTTTCTAAAGATATTTATATTATATTAAATACTATATAAAATTTTCTTGAGTTCGAGATTTATAATATATATATATTAACGTTGATTTTGATAGTTCTTCAGCTGCCAAATAATGGCTTTATGGTCAATTGTATGCCTTAGTAAGTGTAATTCATCAAGTTATATCTAACACACTAGTGGACTTCTTCATTGATTTATATCATCCAAAAATTTCGAAAGATTTGTATTTAGCGTAGGTGGAGAATATATCATTTGGAAAAATTTGATTTTATCGACTCAATAGTTCAATGATGGAAAAATTTTCAAATATGATGCTTTCTTTATTGTCTACAATCGTTTCCCAAATAGTCACTTTAGGGACCGATGGGAATCAAAGATCGTCTGAAGATGATAAAAATACATTGAATGACGAAAGTGGACATATTGAATAGTGTTCATCCTTTTTTTCTTTTAATGTTATTTGGTTATTGGATTGATATTTTTAACGTTGCAATTGACAAAAATAAATGTTATAAAAAAAAAAAAAAGAATGATATCAGGTTTCCGAAGTTTCTCAAATTCACATAAACTTCGACGAAGTCGCGTTTCAAAGTCTGATGTAGAGCTCTATTCGATATTAAAAATAAGATTCTAATATTCGATCCATCGTCAATTAATATTAGTTCTATCAGAGTTGTTTGTTATAATAACTGATGATAATATAAGATTATATTTTTCCTTGAATATGTCTTCTCTGACATCTAGTCGTCTATACATATTACAGTATAGAAAAAATGGTGTCGGCCAAATAAAAAACAAAAGAAGTTTCATCAAGTTTTAACTTGAGTAATTCCCTGTCTTGGCATTAAATATGCAACATGTTGTAAACAATTGAATGATAATAATCAAAATGATGATTTCGAGAAATTTTCCCATTATTTTTTTTTTTCTATATCTACCATTGTATTTATAATTTTATTTTATATTTTAAGCTTGTGGGTACAGCAATGCGATTTTTATCAACATTAGCTGCACGAAGTCATCATTGTAGTATGTTTGAAGGTGGTGATACATTAAAAATTGTATGTGAACAAGTTATTCTACCGAATTTATTTCTTCGAGGTTTTATTTTAATTTAATTTTTTCTTATATTTTAAATAAATTTATATTTTAGAATCAGATGTAGAAGAATTTGAAGATAATCCAGAAGAATATATTCGAAAAGATATTGAAAAATCTGGTAAGAACTACATTAATCATTAAGAAAAAGCAGAACTCTGTCATGTTCTATCTTACGTTCATATAACTTTGTACAAATCTCTACAAAGCATATAGACTGAGAAAAATAATAGACGTATGCGAAACATGAGATAGTTTCGCAGCTATTTTAATTGAATTATGACTAATGAAAAGTTCATTTTTCTATAGATTCAGCAACACGTCGACGAGCTGCTTGTGATTTTCTTCAAGCACTTTGTATTTTTTTTGAATCACAAGTTATTGCTTTATATAGTCAATATATTGAAGCAATGCAAAAGGTAGATTATCTCATATCTAATTATTATTTGTTAATAAATAATTTTTTTTTTTTTTGTTAAGGAATATTTACAAAATCCAACACAAAATTGGTCTAAAAAAGATACATGTATTTTTCTTGTCTTAGCACTTGCTTCAAAAGGAGAAACACAAAAAGTTTGTTTGAATTTTTTTTATATACTATGAAATATATTAATTTTATTTTAGTTGGGTATTACAAAAACAAGTTCATTTATTAGTATTCCAGTTTTTTATGCTAATAGTATTCTACCAGAACTTCAAAATCTAGATGGTATGAATTCTTTTTTTTTTTATTTTTATGTATATTAATGTTTTTTACTTTTCTAGTCAATAGTCTTCCTTTAATAAAAGCTGATTGTTTAAAATTTTTAATTTATGTACGAAATCAACTTGATCGTGATGCTTTAGTTAAATCTTTACCTGAATGTGCAAGATATTTATCATCACATAATATTGTTGTACAAACATATGCTGCACATGCTATGGAACGTTTATTACTTGTTCGACATCCTGCTGATCAAAAACATACAGCGTATAAAAATGAAATATTTTTCTTTCTTATCATTTACTTTTTTGTTTTTTTTTGTTCTTTGAAGAATAACAAAGAATGATTTAATTCCATATGCACAATCAATGTATGATAAATTATTTCAAATATTAACATCAGATAAATCATATGAAAATGAATATGTTATGCGAGCTGTTATGAGATTTTCATCATCACTTCATGAAGGAGTTTTACCTTATTTAAATCAATTAATGGACAAATTAGTTCTCATTTTACGACGATCAAGTCGAGTTAGTAGACATTATTTCAACTTGTGTGTGTGTGTTTTTTTTAAAAATCTTTATCTGATCAGAAAATCATCCTAACGAGGGAACCGCCCGAGGCGTCCAACGCCAATTCCCTTCATTCATACGTTGTTTGATAGAGGCCATCGAGATAGTAGAAAGTCTAAAAGGATTTCGGCTGACGGCTCTCTCTTGAAAAGCAATGGCCGTTTTACTGAATTTTCCATCCATTTCTAGGTATTTATCGAAAAATCAAATTATGGAGTTTCGACCTGAGATTTCGCCCATAGATAGGTCTAATAGCCCTTAGAATATCCTGAAAGTTTCAGTCAAAACGAGTGTCTCTTTCTTGGGACATTAATTTTTTGAAAAATAGTCGCTTGCCAAAGATATATCACAAAAACCGAGCTCCCTGGAAAACTGAATATCCCAAGAAAGGGACACTCGTTTTGACTGAAACTTTCAGGATATTCTAAGGGCTATTAGACCTATCTATGGACGAAATTTCAGGTCAAAACGCCGTAATTCGATTTTTCGGTAAATACCTAGAAATGGATGGAAAATTCAGTAAAACGGCCATTACTTTTGAAGAGAGAGCCGTCAGCCGAAATCCTTTTAGACTTTCTACTATCTCGATGGTCTCTATCAAACGACGTATGAATGAAGGGAATCGGGATTGGACACCTCGGGCGGTTCCCTCATAAGTGCAGACAAAGTCACTGCGAACTGAATAAGATAGAGAAGCGATGACTTAGTAACAGATCGTCTGTTGTAATGGAGCCAGTTCTCAAATATTTTTCTATTAATCGAGATAAAGTCTGAAGACTTCAGATTCAATAGAGTTTAGTTGTCTGAGAAATGCGTAGCATGCGCAAAATATCAACAACCTTGCGTTAGATAGTTGCTTGGATAAAAGACTATCAAGAATTAATTTGTTTTCTGAAACTGTACAACATATACAAAACCACAGTTTTATACAAGCAGTGTGTCATCTTTTATCGAATTACCATCTTTGACTTTTCGTTGTTTATTTAAGACAATAAATTGATGGATTTTAAAAAGGATTGTTAAATGTTTGAGAATAATTTTCTTTATATTGAATGATATCATTGTCAAAAAGTATTCTTTCTTATCAAATTTTAAAATTATTACTGATATTCGAATAAATCTTTATAAAAATAAATGATAATAATGTTTTTTTTTGTAGAATCCAAATAAACCAAATTTCAATCATTATCTATTCGAAACAATAACTGTATTAATTCGTACAAGTGTAACACAAAATCTTGCTGTACTTAGTCAATTCGAACAAGTTCTTTTTCCAGTATTTACACCAATATTTGCTGAAGATATTGCTGGTAAAAATAAATATTCTTTTGAGGTTTTTTTTGTTATGTTAAATTGATATTCTATTTAGAATTCGTTCCATATGCATTACAAATTCTTGGATTTCTATTAGAATCTCATCCATCAGGGTCAACACCATTACCTGAAGCTTATCGAATATTATTTCAATCGATACTTATACCAGCATTTTGGGATCGTAGTGGAAATATTCCAGCATTATCAAGACTTTTACAAGCTTATATTGATAAAGCTGGTGATACAATTGTTCTTGAAAAAATAGTAAGTTAAAATTTAATATGAATTACAAAATCAATTTTGTTTTATAAATAAAATTAAAAAAACTAGACAATTGTTCTTGGTATATTTCAACGTCTTGTTTCACAATCAAAAGTTCATGATCATGAAGGATTTGCTATATTAAATTCCTTAGTTGTTCATTTATCACGATTACATTTAGAAAATTATTTTAAAGATATATTTCTTGTTATATTTACACGTTTAACTAAAGCTAAAACACAAAAATTAATTAAATGTATTATTATTTTCTTTTGTTATTTTATTGTTAAATATGGTGCACAAGAACTTATAACACAAGTTGATAATATTCAAGCAAAGTAAAATAATTTACTTTTATTTTTTGAAAATAAAAATCTTTTATCTTTTTATTTTTCAGTATGTTTCAAATGGTAATTGAACGTTTATTTTTACCTGAATTATCAAAAATAGATGAAAATGATAAAAAATTATGTGCAATTGGTGTAACACATTTATTATGTGATCCAATACCAATGATAAGTGGAATTTATTTTGCACATTTATGGTTACCATTATTACAATCTTTACTTCAATTATTTGAATCAAGTAATGAATTACAAACAATGTCAGCAGCTGAGAAAAAAAAACAAGCACAAGAAGAAGCTGATGAAGAATTACTTGTTGGATTAGATGATACACCAGGTACCTATTTTATATATATTAGTTGATGAGATATAGTGGATTTCATTTTTCTATAATGTTAAGCATTTAGTTTAAATTTCGATAGGAATGTCATTTTTGGCAATAGGATTTACCCTAAAATACTTTACTCAATGTTATTGTACGAACTCTTTCAAATGGTTTCAGAATTAACTGAAATCGATCAGATTTTCTCTAAAAATTCATAAATTTCGATTAATTTTAAATCTCATTTTTGAGACTCTATGAAACTTAATTCTTGTTATCACAATGGAGTAGAACAGTTGTTAAAAACAAAAATCTGATATGATAATGAATTCTCAATATTGAAAAAAGTGTTTTTTGAAATATAGAATAAACAATTCTCTACAAAAATGAAAACATCTTCCAGCTATGTACATCGTTCTTTCATTAAAATATATCAATCTTATTAAAGACACAACATTCATTTTTTCTGCCTTCCCCGCAGGACTGATGTATCTTGGTAAAACATTGCAGACAATTGAAAAATTTTTCATTTTGTGAGAGAATAAATTACTCTATCAATCTAATCAATTTAAACAAAATTGTACATAGAAATTTCAGGAGATGGAAAACGTTAATGTTGATTTTTTAAGAAATCTTATTTTCAATAATCATTTTTGATCTTCGAAAATAAAATTCTCTAGACAAATCACTATTTTAATTTTGTTCGAATAAGTTAGGAAGCTATGTTTATACACCTACACATATGGGAGGAGAAAAAACAAAATACGTCATTTGTTATATTGTATACCTTTATGTAAATATTTTTATTTGTTTGATTTAAGACTATACACCAGCATTTTCATGTTTGGCTTTTGCAAAGAAACCTCATACAGATATATTTAGCACAAGTATACCTGATGCTCGATGTCATCTAGCGAAATGTTTACATGCATTAACAGCTGCACATCCGAATCAAGTTGGTCGATTGGTTTTTTTTGTTTTGCTAACTAAAAATATCTTGTTCGTTTTTTAGTTTCTTAATCTAATGAAAAGTGGTTTGTCAACGGAACATTTATCACATATACAAAAATATTGTGCATTGGCTAATGTTACACTTATATGATTATGATCAGATACTACTTTTCTTTATTTTCTTTTGTGTTGACAAAATCTATTTTCTTTAGTGAAAAAAAAAAACCTGTATGAGACAAAAAACAAATAAAATCAAACGAATAAAATTCATTCATGATTATTATAAGAATAACATTTGAATTTATTTTTTTTCTTTATTTGTCAGATGAAATAATGGCTCAACGTGCTTCATCACATACAAGTCTTAATTCATTGAAAGATTCTAAGTTAAACACATCGTATCAATCAAAAAATTCAGCATTAGGTTCGAGATATGTATCGACCACTACATTATCTAAGTGTTAATCAGATATTACATTATCAAAAACAAAAAAAAAGATGAGAAAGACTTTTAAAAGTATCAGATAAAAAATCAATTGTGTAGAAGTTCATTTAGTAGATCAATAATATGTTCTTGTTATGTTTGATGATATCAGTACAATATTTAATGAAATGAAAATATCACGATAACTTAGATCGATTATCTTCTTAAATATGTTTTACCTTTTCCGATAAAAAGTTTTATGTTTCATGTTTTAATTGATTCACAAGGAGAAAAAAATGCGATTACAGTTGTAATTGAAGAATTAAGACTAAGATTTTTCAATTTTGTGGTTATCAGTGTTCAGAATTTTGTCATATTGATTTCGACTTGCCAGAAAGTTTAATACATGTCTAACTGTTTTCTGATACATTTGCACATATTTTACATGTTAATGTTGTTCCTGAATGAAATAAAAGACTATTCAGATACTTCGTCACAATGATTCTCTGGAATTATAACATTCTGTAAAGCTTCAAGTCAGTTGATTTATCATGGCATCATGAAATAGTATATCAGGTCGCCGACGACATCATGGACTTGTTAGTAAAATTGGAACAAGTTTTCGGTCAATATTTCGACGATTTTCACGTCCATCAAAAACATTAAGCGAAATGGAACTACAAGTATTATTATCAATAACAAATTTTACTCGTGAAGATATTTTAAAATGGTAAATAAATAAAAAGAAAAAAAAAAGAAAGTTTTCGAGAATATAATTTATATTTTAAGGCATGAAAAATTTTTAGCTGATTGTCCACATGGTTATATGACTCGAAAAGATTTTATATCAATGTATAAATCATTAAATCCAAATGGTGATGTTGAACGTTTTGCTGGTCATATATTTCGTGCATTTGATATTGATAAATCAAATACAATTGATTTTCATGAATTTCTTATTGGTTTATCAATGACTTCAACAACAAGTTCACCAGAAACTAAACTTGAATGGATATTTCAAGTATTTGATATTGATGGAAATGGTTTATTAACACGAAATGAATGTTTAGAAGTTATTGATATTATTGTACGATTTAATTATATACAATCAACTGGTGAACAAAATAATTCGGAAATCGAACAATTAGTTAATTCAGCTAAACGTAGTATGATGAGAATATTTGATGATATATCTGGTGATCGATGTAATACATTAACAATGGCACAATTTGTTGAAGGATGTCAAAAAGATGCATTTATTTCACAATTATTAGCACCAAATTCAGGAACTGGAAATGGAATGACAACTACATCAAATACATAAAACATTCCCGACAGTTAATGAATAATAAAATATGGCTCAATATCTCATCGTGCTTTCATTTTTTAATTATAAGTGCATTTCAGATTGATTTGTCTCAATTATTTTTGCATCTGTATTTTTTTTTTTTGTTTTTCATTCACTTTATTTTATTCGAAAAAACTTATATACATCTTTTGTTTTTGTGTAAAAATAAATAAATATTCTGTACAAGCAACCAAGAAAAGGTGTTAATGTAGTAATGCATTTGGTTAACTTGTTTTAAAAATATGTTGATGATCATAGACAGAGGTTTGCTTAGCAACAATTATTGATATGTTTTCTTTTAATTTCTATTATACTGCATAAATTCGTTTGTGTAATTTTTTTTTCTTAAGATTTTATCGAACTTCTATAGTGTATTAATAATATATTCTATCTGATTTAATTTCTTCTCATAAAAATTTGATATGATTGGTATATGTTATTAATACTAAGCATTTGACTATTAAAAAAATGTGTCATCTCACATTTTATAATTTAGATTTTTTGTCAATATTACTGAAGATTTACTTCCGATTCGATTCGAATCGGTTTCATCGTGTTTTAGGTCCATTTAATGGTCTCCTAGTTCGATTCTTATATTATTCATTACAATGATTCATAATTATATTTAATATAATAAAGAATAACTCGTATAATAAAAAATACAGAACTTATCAACATGTTTAACGCACAGGCGCGTCATATATGTGTTAGCGTTCAATCTGAGATCCAGTATTGAGTGGACATTAATTCAGGTCATTTTCGGTTTGATCAGTTACAATACGTTCAATCTAAGATTGACCTGAAAATTTTAGACGAGTCACAGGTTTATGTAGGTTAATGACGGTTTGAAAGGTTACTACAGCCAATCTTGAATCGATTAACAGATTACACTAAAGCAAAAACTCATCATAGCTAATGAAATTTTATATTCAACGACATACAATATAAAATTTTAAGCGAATAACATAAAAATTTTCAAGACAAGGTGTGTATATATAGATATATTTGTTCGGTTAACCTGACACGTACAATTGACATATAAACTAACTTTTTCGAAGATTGTTTTAGCATGAACGGTACGTCAATTTCATCCACATTTTTTCTGTTGTAGCTTTTATTCAATAAATTTTTTGAACTGTACCAACATCTGAACATATAATACAATATATACTCTTACAAAAACTAGGCTTGTTTACAGAACCTATAAAGAGTCTCTTCCTGGATAAAAACTCGAAGTCATTTTTGGTTTTGTACCAAATCCATAAAAGTTTTTTCATTTCACGGATCTTCAAAGAGCTTTTAGTTAGGTGATACGATCGATACCAAAAATGGTTTCGAGTATGTATTCATACGAAGAACGTTTTTTAGGTTCCGTAACAAAAATTTTTTCAGAGTTTACCTAGTCTCTACTTCGAGATTGGTTGTATTAACCTTTGAATCCACCATTGGCTTAGAAAAGAATACAAAAGTGACATTGAATATTATATTTTGAGTGTAGATAAGAGTTCTGCTCCATTAATCGTAATAATTTTTTCATTTACAGTAAAATCAGATAATTTCCTTATTTGTATTGTTTATATTAATTTTTAAACACGCTATAATTATTTTCTTCATTGAGTTTGATAGAGCATAAAACTCTATGAAATGTTGTTATTTGAGACTGTCAAGCACGTGAACACAATAAAAGTCTAATAATTGCTTTTATGTCTATGAGAGAACTAACTCGCGTTCTATGCTGAAACCCACTTTGGTTAAGTATCATGCATGTCTCTCAAACGATTGATTACACTCGTGTTGTGTATACGTGTTTGATAGTTTCAAAGCACATCATTTTGTAGAAAACTTTGTGCCTAATCAAACTCAATGAGAAAAATAATTATAGAGTCTCAAAAACTAATGTAAACAGTGTAAATAATGAAACAATTTGGTTTTATTGTAAATGAAACATTTATCGCGACCAACGAAGCAGAACTTTTATCTACACTCAAAATATATCATTCGATGTCATTTTTTTGCTCTCTCCTCTTTAGTCATTTACTTTATTTTCTTAACTTTGTGCTTTATAACTATGAAGAATTCGAACTTTTCATGAAAACTATAATGAGACGACACTATAGATTTCGGTATTGAAGATTGCAACGTAATAATATGCGAGTAGATTTTAGTTGTTTTTAAAATTTTTTCCACTCGAGAAAAAATAAAAACTTATTTGTGACGCAGAGACTTGAAGTTGTGGAGTCTCTCTATATGCACTTACTTACCATAGATCCTGTCTAAGTATATCAGTCATTCAAACTTTCTTATCCCGTACCTTTGTTCAGCAAAAAACAAACAATATTGTTCTTAAGGGCCCCACCCTTCCCCCTCAGAAAATCCATTTTTTCGATAAAGTAATCGAAGTCGAGTTTTTATCATAGGACGATGCAGTGAAGATTCCTCTTTCAGAATACATATAAATTTTAAAAAAAAACGCCAAATTTTTACAGACTTTAGTAGGAGATTTCCACCTCATTACCTAGTTTTCGGAGAGATTTTCGCGATTTTTGTTATTTTTGGAAAGACTACTTTTTTACTACTATCAGTATGCAATAAACATTTTTATGTCATATAGCACGACCTGTAGTTCTAGCTTACGTCATCTATTACATGCTTTCAAAAATTTCACATAAATATTATCAATATACCATTATTTTCTGCATTTGAATGAAAAAATCCATTTCTAAAACTTGTTTATCGTTTTTCTCAGAAGGTGAGTTTAACAACACATTTTCAAGAATACTAAACCACAGTACAAGATAAAATCCAATATTTTTTTTGTTTGAAAGAACGTCAAAGACTGCAGGTGCTCTCAGGCTCCTTTTTTTTAAATTCAGCTTTAGGTTTAGTACAAAAGAAGACATATATATGAATGGATACCCACTTTTTGTGTGTTTTCAACGAGTTTTTTTAAGATATTGAACTTTCTACTGATTTTTTTCATATATAAAGTAAGAATATAAAAAAAGGAGCCTCAGAGCAGCTGCAGCTTTTGACACTCTTTCAAACAAAAAAAAAATATACATATGTTCAATGAAGTCCCACAGAGAATTCTTGTAGACAAAATCAGCTATTTTTTGATCCTTGTTTAGTCAATATCTCCCTCCAGACACATGATACTGAGCTGAAAATTTTCTCACAGCCTCCTCACGTTAGTACCAACAAATCCTAAAAATTTTATGCGATTTCAGCGTAGCCGGCCTGAGATCGGTTTTTGAGGAGGATCTTAAATTTTTTTTCATTACTGTATACAATGAAAAGAGTAAGGTATTTTTGTTTTTATAGACTTGCTATATTGATTTTCTAATTGTAAATCTTAACAATGAAGTACACGTGTAATAAAATCTGTAATGGTGAATTGCATAGTAGTTGTTGTTTGCTTTTTATATTCAATATATGTATCTTTACAATAATCGCTGATAGATTGAAGATAACTGAAGGCTTATCACCTTCTTTTGAATCTAAAGGTGCCATGATCGAACTACAAAGAGACCGAAATGAGAAAGGACCCATAAGAGATCATCGAATGGGACTGACATATGTAGGACCGAATCGAACACAATCAGAGACTGACTCTACTAAATAATGTACTTTATTTGATGTAGATTTCTGTCATTCGTTTGTCTTTGCAGCGATAACATCCCAACTGATTAAGAAAATATAAAGTGTATTTAACAAAAATATGAAAGACTGTTAAAAGAGAAGTGAACAAACAAAAAAAAAAGAACATATTAACTTACGTAAATAGACAAACAAACGTATGTTAAATTCGTCTATATAGAAAAAAACAAAACGTCAACGATGAGTTTGAAAGAGACAATAAATCAAATCTTTTATGATAATACAAATTATTTACACGCACAACAAGCACTTAATCAAGCTCGATCACTCAAATCTTTATCCAATGATTTATACACTGATCCACTTCGTTTTGTTTATGAACTTGTACAAAATTGTGATGATGCTTGTGAATCAAAATCTATAGTACGCATCGCCATTTTAGATCATCGTTATTTAATCGTTGGTCATAATGGAAAACCATTTGACAAGAAAGATATACAAAGTCTATGCGATATTGGATGTAGTACAAAAGGACAAAATGTTCAAACAACAGGTTACAAAGGTTTAGGATTTAAAGCTGTTTTTGGAAAATCTGATTATGTATTAATTGTATCGAAAGGAGAATATTTTCGATTTGAAGCTAATTCTAAAGTATTTAATTGGAATCAAAAATGGGGAACTAATCAAATAACATGGGAACAAATAAATAATAGAAAATTTGAATTTCCTTGGCAAATATGTCCTATTTGGACTGAAATAAATGAAGTTCCTGAATCGATTCAAAAATGGCTTTTAGGACAAGTTGATACTACAGCAACTATAATACGTTTGAAAAACGTTGAAGAAACACAAAATGCTGTTAAGCAACTAACAGATCAACCTCATGTATTCATGTTTCTTCGAAATATAAGAACTGTACGATTTTCTCTAAATTCTCCAAATGAAACAATTTTAAACATTACTCGTCTCCGAGATGGATCTGTAAAAGTTATATATGATTGGAAACCCATATCACATTGGTTATTATCGACATGCAACATAGATGTTCCTGACAATGTACGAAATGATTTTCGTTTACCAGAAAAACTTCAAGAAGCAAAACAAACTGAAATGATTCTTGCTGCAAAAATCGATAGAAATGATAATATTGAAAGTATTCAAGGTCGTAATAATGCATTATTTGCTTATCTTCCAACAAAAATAACAACCTACAATTTACCTATATTAATCAATGCCAATTTCTTGACCAATGCTAGCCGAGAACATATCCATACGGATTCAGTATGGAATCAATTTCTTTTCTCTCGTATTCCACATGAAACGATCAAATGGATTGGAAAACTTAGCAGACAAGATAAATGGCGTGATAAGGCTCTTGATCTTCTACCTAATTCTATTGATGTCCAAGATAATCTCGCTGCAAAATACAATGAAAATTGTTCAAATGCAGCTAGAGAAGTACCTTTTGTATTAAATATTTCTAAGAAGTTATTGAAACTCAGCGAAGCTGTCATTGATATAACAGGTTTTTCAAGTCCAAATTGTATTGGAAATGATTTAATTCGTAATTTTATTTTACATACTGTCTCTCCAACACCTTGTCTAGCACAATATCCTTTTGTTCACAATAGTAAACGACTTCGAAAATTTACTATATGTATCTTCGACTGGGACAAAAGTTTAAATATGTTGAATTCAAATGATTTTCAAATGAATTTTACCATTGAACAAGATATTCAATTTATTTTCTATCTATTTTATAATCAAAATCAACCACAAATTCAAGTTCGATTAAGAAAATTGCCGTTTCTTATGGATCGCACGAGAATACTTCGAATGGCAAATGAAATTTATATACCATCGCAATTTAATAATGCAGATTGGATAGAAACAAACGATACTGATCCTTATGTACATGATAATATAATGTTATGGTTACAAACTGAGCCTTCAGTTCTTACATGGCTTAAATCATTGGGTGTCATGGAAAAAACTGATGAAATATTTATAAATCGAAAGATTATACCAAACGTGCGTAATTATATAACATTAGAAAATGCTCTATCGACTGTAAAAAAATTATTTAATAGTTTTCAACATGGTGAAATACGTAATGATCTTCTACAGAAATTAAATAAACTAAAATTATTTTCTCTCGAAAAAACTTTAGTATCTGCTGATGAATTATATTTTTCTGAACCATATTTACCTCGTCTATCTTTAAGTAATTTTCATCTGGATGAAGCAAAATTTCTTTCTTCAATCTATTTAAATGAAATTAAAGGTTTACCAAATAAAATAAAACAATTTTTTCTTTTATTAGGTGTACAAGAAGATATTAAATTGATTCAATATAATGAAGATCAACATAATGAAATTGTTTCAGCTTATCAATTTAAACAAACAGAAAATCTTTTTCAATACAATTCATTACAATTTCAATATTGTTTAACAATGCAATTTCTTGATGTTACTCAAATAAATTATGATTTTTCTCTTTACTTTTGGCAACATGTTATACATTCAATTAATATCAATCAACTAAATGAAAAAGAAATAATTATTTGTAATCAACAACCATTTCGTAAAGTTGATAATTTACTCTATTGGTTTGTACGAACACGAGCTTGTATTCCAACTACTACGAAACAATTATTAAAAAGTATAGATGTTTTTTCAAGTGATTTAATATCAATTGCTGGTGATTTATTGCCTGTTTTTGCTTGTACTATCTCTACACCATTTTCTGTTGATTGGCAATATTTTTTTCAATTTAAAACTCAATTTTCCATTCAAGATCATATTCAATTATTAAATTTATTGTATGATCGTTTAAAAAATACTTGTCTGAATGATGAAAATGAAACATGTATACAACGTATCTATACTAGTATGATTAAATGTCTTTCAAATATTGATAGAAAACATATTGATCAATATCGACCAAAAGCACCTTTATATTTACTTAGTACAATAAATAATGAATTTCATCTTTCAACAAATCTTGTCATATCTTTAAACAAAGATTTTACTTTGCCTAATCAAATTCTTCAATTGAAATTAAGCACAGAAAATTCTCGTGATATTAATTTAACATATTTTCTTGATTTTTTTAATATAAGACAAATTGGAATCAATCATTTAGCATTGCCTACTAATATTGGCGCACAACCTTCACTTTTCTTACGTGCAAAATTACGTGATATACAAGTATATCTATTTCAATTAGCTCATTCTCGACATATTACAAATCATTGTATTGACTATGATCTGGAAATATTCGAAGCCGATCGATTGGATTTATACTATAATCAAACAATACCTGTTTTACAAGTATATACTCATGTTATTGATAATCGACTATATGTTACACGTCCTTGGAATTCAAATCAAGTTAAATCAAAATTGCCTCAAATTCTTTGCAAACAATTTAAATTACCATCGAATTTTGAATTAGATATTCATCAATTTTTGTTCGATGAAAAAACTATTCATTCAATGGTATCTATTCTACCAGATCCTTCAATAGATTTACTGAATATCAATGGAACTCGTGGAAAATTTGCTATGATGATTGATCGTGATAATGAACAACTTTTCAATCATCTAGGAATTACAAATACAACAAGTTCAGCTGAAATTCTTATCAAAGGACTTAATGCACAACATTCCTCACTTGCTGGCTATGTATATCATTATACACATTTAGAAAATGCAGTTTCAATTCTTCGTGATCATGCTATAAAATGTCGTAATAATTTATCTTCAAATGATTTCAAAGATTCTGCTGCTAAAAATGTTATTCTAACAACTCGTCATGAGGTTAAAGATTATGTTCGTTTTTATTTTCGATCATTGACACCAACACAATATTGTAATGAAAATCTTGGTTTACCAAATCTATCAAAACGATATGGTAATCAACCAATATGTCCAATACCAATTATTTTTCGTATTGATTTAACAGCTATACTTTCTATTGAAGATATTCAATGGAAAGTTAGTTTAGGTAATATGGCAAGTTCTCAAACCGAATTCAATAATACATTAAATATTGTGAAAAAATTTGATTTTCAAGGTATATTTTCTGATGTACATACAGAACGTGGTAAATATAGTTCACAACATGAATTTCTTATTAAATCAGAATTAAATTTTGATCAACTTAAACAAGAAAATATTACGATTATATATCAAGATGAAAATGCACGTTACAGTTTAGAACATATGATTTCACATAATTACCTTTCATCTATTGATACATCATTCTTTTATGGTTGTAATTCTCGAATTATAATAGACTCAACTGGTTCTGCTAATGTAATTAATGTGTATATTAAAAACGTGAATCCATCAACAGTTTATGGTCATCTCATTTTACAACTATCTGGTAAAAATGAAAATCGAACAATCCAAGGCAAATTGAGTGCATCTTTTCAACGTGGCAACATATCAACCGTTTATTCAACTGAACAATTCTCATTTATTGCTAATATGAATGATATACAATATGCTATCTATTATGAATATGAAAATCAAGTGTGGCTTATTCATACAAATTCGTCTCAAACACATTTTATTTCACCAACATAGTAGGATGAACAATACGATCACAAATAAATTTTTGAACAGTATAAACATCCTTTTGTTTTATTCATGTGAGTAGATTCTAGTATATATTATATTATTTTAATCGTTAATAATTAGACATGTATCGAGATTGAGAGACTCAATCTTTGTACATGCTTAGTAATAACGATGTCTATCTTTTTCTTCGTAGTTCTCTAATGATGAACAGAAAAATTGAGTCAATTAACATAAATATTTGAGTATGTTAAACTAATTTTGCAGACTAACGATAGAGCCTCCACAGATATTTCCTTTCGATTTCAACGATTTTTTTATCTATAAATATTACATAGTGTTTTATTAAAAGTCTGAAAAAGATTTTGAATTCTCATCAAGATTTAACTAAGTTGTTGAATATTTCATATGCCTATTTTCTAAAGGATCTCAAGTTTTCGGAAAACTCAATTTCACTCTAGCTTTCATATAAAAATTTCGTAGTTTTTAACAAAGTTTGTTCAAGATATAAAGCTTTTAAAAAATGCACATTGTATACAATATCGAAAAGAAAGGATATACTACATCTTCAAAGTCTCATGTATTGAAGAAACTCTATTCAAAAGTTGTGAGTTTTTTATGGAAGCTAGCTTATTAGAGTACCTATATAGACAAAGCTTCAGATTAATATTCGATAGCTGAGCCTAATCTCAGTAGAAACCCAAATTATTTTAGTGTTTTTATTAAAAAACTAGGTAATATCTGTAGGCAAAAAAATCATTGAAATCAGAATGGAATATTTGAGGAAGTTTCTTCATAAGTTGTAAAAACGCTGACGTAATCGAATGAGTTATCGTCAATGCCTGTCCGATATAGCTTAGTTTAGAATGGCATTATTAAAATTGTATTTTTTTTTTTACAAAAAAGGTTTTCTGAACAATGAAGCTCCACAAGCAATGTACTATTTTATTAGAAGATTGTAAAAAGTTTATTATCATAGTGATCATGAATTGAATAAAGTTGAATAGTTTTAATACTTGAAAAAATAGCATGAGAGATAAGTCGAGTTACTTATTGAACTGAAAGATCAAGATGCATTCGTCGGTACTGCAATTTCTTGCAGGCTATTATTAATTAGCATTTGCTTTCACGAATAAAATATCAGCTGATCAATTTCAAAGAGTCAAATCGGTTACTATTTCTAATTATATTGGTCCATTTCAGTAAAATCTACATTACTTAATGTAGTTGATACTATATTCGATCTTGTGTATAGATGATGAATTGCAATGAATCGAATGAATGCTCTGCTTCGATTTATTGGTTGAATGAAACTTCCAAAATGTTTGCATAATAAAGATGTCTGATTGTTACCAGTTGCAAGGTGAACAACTTATCTAAGACATTTTGACGACACTTCATGTTGAAATTGATGAGATTTTGATTAAAAGTCTCTCTCTCTCTCTCTCTCTTGGTCAGGCCTTCGGCCCATTTCGAGTGCTGATGTCTATATATTTTTATTCTTAATAAAATAAGATCTATTGAATTATTAATAATCAAAAAAAAAAAATGTTGATTGTCTCGCTTTTTTGTTCATCATGCAAATATAATTAGACTTGAAATTTTATCTATTATGAATTATAAACAATAAGTGGTTGAACTATACCTTTTTTGTATGTGTTGCACTTTTTTTTTTCTACGGTGATTATTCAAGGTATCTTTTTTTCTATTCCTCTGGTAATGTATAAAAGAGGTTAATACTTTATTCCAGTTAACGACATTTCATAGATGTTTGAACTTTCTTTTGTATTTTTCAATCTATAGTAAAAACGAACAAATAGTCCAAGTTATTTGTTTTTTCTTCTACGAAATGAATTCATTCATGCAGACACTACAGATTTTATTAATTACGAGTAGAATTGATTTTTTTCTCAATTTTCAAAAATTTGTAATATAAAATACAATATTTCACTATGTGTATCTACGATTATTTTGCTTTCATAAATGTCAAGCTAACCTCTCTTTACTAATGATAACTTCAAGTGCATACATTAACCTTTTCTATGAACTAATCTTTGGAAAGATGCTACAATCACTCATATAGTGTAACGAATGGACTTACTGATCTATTTTTTTTAATAAATATAATTAACTATTTTGATTATCTAATATTAGACAAAATTTATAATAGAAAATAATTTCAAATTGAACATAGACATCCATTAAATAATTAAAATAAATCATTGATGTGTTAACTTTATCTATCAAGCTTTCATATTAAATCAATGTCAATATAGAACTATACTTGTCAAAAACATAAAAATAACAAGAGAATTTTAAGTTAATTATATCACGCAAAACATTTTCTCGATAATTAACAGAAATATTCTATAAAAATTTTTCAATATTAAATATATGTTAATTTTTTTTATCGAAACAAAACACAAAAAGAAGAATCATCTCATTTTTCTATTTATCTAATCATCTGTTAAGCACATGTGATAACCTTGATACGAAACAAAAAAAAAAAATATCTTATAGGTTGATGGCATAAAGAATTAAGATCAAAAGATAGTGTTGTATCAACAAATAAACTCCAATACATATACAGATTTCTAAGATCAACAAAAAAAAAAAAAGAAATGAATGAATGAATGGCTTGATTTTCTGATCATAAATATGATGACAGACATACTATCAACGCTCGTTGTGTCAATCATTGTTCTATGTTTATACAAATGTCAAAGTATGTGAATGACTGCACAATAAGACACGCGTTAATTTCTGTAATTAGTGACGAAATACACATAGACATAGACATCAAGCGAAAGGTATTATTCCATCTGTTATTTAATCTACATAGTAAAAATCACATGATGAATATGACCTTGCATTCAAGATAAAGACGAAGAAGAAGAAGAAGAAAAAAAAAAAAAGAGATGAAGATTAATTATTGTTGTTTGTATTATTGTTCGTACGTCGTGTTGTTCCTGTCATCGGTGACAAAGACAAGTGAGGATAGAAGAATGGTAACTGATCATTGTTATTCAACATTGATGGTGGCTTTAAATATGGATGAAAACGATGATGACTATGTTGTTGATGCATAGAAGTTGTTTTTCCTGTTGATGTATGATTATGTCGTAAATGTTCAATAAGTTCATCAGCTGATGTAAATTTTGCATTACATGAATACCAATGACAAATATATGGTTGTGTATGAACTGATGCTGCAAGAATATGTCGAACTGTTTCACATTGTAAACAACCAGGAACTGTACATGGTGTTGAAAATGAATGATATTGTTGTTGTTGTTGTTGTTGTTGTTGAGCAGCTAGATAAGCAAGTGAAGAACGAAGAAGAAGTGTAGCAGCAGTTGTTGTTGGATCAAATAGTGTTGGTAAATGAGTTGATAATGGATTTGATTCAACGAAAGACGATGATGGTATAATAGTACTGGGTTTCACTGGAACAGTTGACTTTTTATTATTTGTAATTGTACTATTTGATTGTATTGGAGATGAACGTTTAGATGATAATAAAGGTTTTTCATTATTAGATGTTGTTGATGATGATGAAAGAGTAGATGATGATTTAGTTACAAGAGATGTGATAATAGGCGGAGCTGTATTAGGTAGTAATGAAGTATTTAAAGACAAGCATGAAGATGATGATAAAGGAGGTGATGGAGAATCTTTGCCAATACTCGAACATGTTTGAGCAAGTAAAGCTAATGGACTTTGACTTGAATCATACTATGATTTAAAAAAATAAAAGATAAAAAATTTTGATTTATTTGATTAAATAATATTAATTTATTTCAAATACATACCAAAGTTGATGAAGATGAAAAAGATGTATTATTAAGTGGTTGTAAATAATCTGGTTTTAAATAAGTATTAGTAGCTGTTGTGGAAGACATGTTCGGTTTTCTTTTTTTTTTCTATTGTTAATAATAAAAAATAATAATGATGATCGCTGGTTGTTATTATTTGTAATCGTTATCTAGAAAGTCAATGAATAAATGAATGAAAGCTTTTCCTGACTTCCTCTCTCTCTCTTTCTCTCATTTCTTTTTTTTCTTCTCTTTCTTATGTTCTCATTTTTCTCTATCCAACTGTCAAGCATACGAAAAAGAGAAGAGATTTGTGTTTGTGATAAATGATGATCATGCTTGAGACCTCCGAGCGAGTATACATACACCGCTGCTTGACACATGCCAATTATAGAGCAAGTAAGAAGAGAAAAGAAAAAGATGAGTGATGACAAGAACGAAGAAAGATTCCATCTATTCTCTCTCTGTCTCTTTATAGTCTTCTCTGATGATAATGTAGCTTGCCGCATTTTCTCCTATGTTCGATTTTTTTTTTTTTTTTTGTTTCTTTCATACAATCATAGAACTATGGGCATCGATCAACTGTCAATCGGTTCAAATAGATAAATATATATATAAACGAAGAAAAATGATAAACGAAGGCGCTCTCACATCTATATACGATTGATGTCAATATATCTTCGTCGTTTTTTTTTTACAAATAAAGTTCATTAACTGTCAAATAGAAATGAATTGAAAGAGATATGTAATTTGATTAATAGATCATTTTAAAAAATAAACATTAATCATTGATCACATATGTTTTTTGTATTGAAAAAATGACAGGAGGTGGTAATGAAAAGAGATAGAATACTTTAGAAAATTATCTTTTCAATCGATCTCATTATTAAATATGCTAAATAAAAAATATATTTGTGATAAATATCTTAGGAAAAAAAAAATGTAATTTCAATAACATAAATCATAGAAAATGAATATTATCTTTCTTAATGAAATAAGAATAATATTATGATATTTTATTTTTTTTTTCGCCTTAATACATAAAAGAATAAATCATTTTGATATATCTAAAATATTTGTTTTTAATATAAGATTCTACACCTAAATATATTTTTTCATATCATTAAACAAAAACTATATTTTTGATTCTATCAAAAATGATTATATTATCCATATTTATCAGAATAAATCTTTCATAGTAATATGGTCTATTTTAATGATGAATGTCGACAATTGTGACAGCAGAAACGAACTTTTCTGTCGACTTGTCATCACAATTGGCTGACCGACTGATAATGATGATCGCTCGACTAGTTGATGACATAAAACATGCACATAAAAATATATATATCTGTATATCGATCGTCTCGACGTGCGCATGATCATCATCATCGGTCTCTCATTTGTCACTCACCCACACAAATAATGATCTTGATCGATCGCATAGCATATGAGTCTCCACATCATGTTAGTACAAACGAGCCGAGCTCTCATCATTTATCATCAATCGTTCTGTGTATGTCGTAATAACAATATTCTGACAAGCAGAAAGCAGTCAGGCAGCAGGAGAATGATTTATCGACGAACGATGGCGATGATGATGATGATGCGAAACATGACCTATCTCGACAAGCGCGAGAAGACAAGCAAACGAAAAGAACAAAAGAGATGTAAATGAGATAATGATAAATGAAGGAGTCGAATATGTGTGTAGATACATATATCTATCTTTAAATGAAGAAAACAAAAAAAAATCCAATAAGAAAAAGAAAAATATCTCAAACGCATTAACAACAGAGAAAAAAAAAAGAAACAATAGATATAGAAATCGTATTTGATTTCTCAACTTTATTATCAAATACTAATCATAACTGTCAACATTATCGTGATTTTATGTCTATAAAAAGAAAATTTCTTTCAAATAGTGTATTATATTAAACAGATGACAAAGATTTAATTCATACAGTCTATTTCTAACGAAAGTCATTCTGATAGATATCTATTTTTTTTCTAGTCATTTGACACTTCATTTCACTCATATTTCTTTTCCCGCGATGTTTTATGACAAGCAAGTATATACATTGACGTTGACGACAATGTTCGATATCTATCTTGCTAAATGATTGTTGTCACTCCATCTGTGTATTTGTTCTTTTTCGTTGACAACGACATGCTCTCGTTCTAATTGATGCTGACAAATACATTAGAATACAGGCCAGCAACCTCAATTAGAATGTAACCATGTAGGCATACATACATTGCTGTCCAAACCGATTACACGCATGTAAGATACGATGTGATTCAATTCACACAAGTCATCTCATCAATACGATCTAAATATGAAGTGACTTCTTGTCCTTGTCTGTTTTGTATATGATGATGATGATTATATTCGACACTTATGTGTAGTGAACATTATATGGCTGACTCTTTCTGTGTTGCCTTGTCAGCTTTGCTCATTCTATACATATCAACACGACAAGCTTGATCTCATTTGTCGTTCTATACACATCAATTAGTATAGATATGTATATGTCGACAACAATTCAAAGAACAAAGAGTAGACCCGCCTATGCTTATGTTTGATGTATATAGTTTAAAATGATGAGAGAAGACATTTATATTCACTACAATTAAAACGAAACAAAATAAGAAGAAAAAAAAAAAAAGCTTTTATTCATAGAAGAATATAAAAATTAGTTTTGATTTCGAATGTTTGTTTTTATTCTTCTATTTTATCGAATTATTAACTTTTCATCTATTCATATTTTGAACAACAATAATAATAGACATTTTAATACTTGTTAACATGTGTATTTTATTTAAAAAATAAAGAATACTAAAAGCGTACATAGTTGATTTAAACGATAGATTTAGCGAATTTAAATTTTTAATATAATTCTCAATAGAGAGATATAGATATTTTATTCTGTAGTACTAGATTTTTATAACAAAAACTTTGAAAAAATAAGTAAACAAAGATACAAGTGTTGTTTCAATCAAAATTATATTTCAGATTTCATTATCAGTTACACAGTGAGAAATTGGAAAAACATTTCAAGTAAACTTACTGTACTTGACTTAATCAAATAAAAATAAAGTTTCAATCTTAATCATAATTGAATAGATTTTTGAATTCTTGACTTCTGACTGCTCAACTTGATACAAAAAAAAGTATAAATAACAATATGTATTGCAATCAAGGAAAAACAGATCATACCATGACTGGATGATTCTAAAATGATTCTGACTATCGAAATAAGAGAGGGAAGTTACTGTTATAATATTAGTTGACAAGTAATAAAATAACGGAGAATTCGTAAATTCCATTCATTCGTCAGGAAATAGTAATCAGGAGAAAATCACCATTTTCTATGAAGTTCGATCAAAAATTTTCGAGTGTCAAACAATTCAAATCGAAAAACGATTTCTCGCAACTGTACGCTTGATTTCTCAGTCAAGAAAAGACTAGTGAGTAATTGATACAGATTTACATTTCTTAGCTTCGAAAATCTTTAATCAAACTTTATAAGGTATTATGTATTTTGAAAAACAGTCTTTTCTTAATACATGCAAAAACTTTCCGTTGCTCGTTACTGGGTGACGGGTGACCTACCAATCGTAATATTGATTATTATGATTAAAGAGAACGACCTTCTATATCATGGAAATGTCAAGAAAGAATGATATGAAGTATCCTCAGAGTATTACTGAAGGAACAACACTTAATACCAAGTACTTTGATTGATTTCAATCATTCTATTAGTTTTGAGTAATATCAATCACTTCATGTGATTCTAATGCCATATAATTTAAGAAAGTCTAACTACATCTTCAATACTGAATTATGAGAAAGACAACTGTACCGTCAAATTTGACGAACAAACGCGAAGTAAAGATGATATTGTAGTAGGTAGAGTACATTCTGAATGTTTTTTACAAGTATGAAACCAGACAATGTCACTAAAGTTCATGCTATAGTAGTGAAAGTCTACAAATATCAAATGGTCTGCTCAGGTTAAAAAGAAATGGCGTCGTAAACAATATTAACTGATGGCTTTATGTTGTCATTTTCTGTAAGCTCGTCAAATGGCGAAAATAATAGAAGAAATTATGATCGTTGATTAGCGGCCAAGTGAACTGAGCCAAATAAAGTTTGTTCAGAGAAGTAATTGATGATATATCATCAGGATGTTCTTCAGCATCATCAACTGAAGATCTTAATTAATAATCAAGGCATAGAAATTTGTTAAAGGAGCTATATATTCTATCTTGAAATCATATTCTAAAATTTTTCATCATTCATGTTTCACATCCTTAATTAATTTGACCTTTTGAATTTAATTTCACTTTAATAATTATGTCATTTGTCTAATGTACAAATAAAAGCATAACATTCTTAGTCCATGAGAGACCATTTATGTTGTGCTTAAATAAATTTTTTGAAAAGATGCGATGAAGTAATATTTTCTAGATAGGGTTTATAATGAGAACGTATCGCGATTTTTTCGAATTGAAACACATATTTGAACGTTCAAAGGAAATCTATTATTTAGAAGTCGTAAGATCAAATTTACGTGAAAACATTATTCTTATTGATGTCGCTTGTTGTTGAACGACAAAAAGAAAATGTCGCCCTCTTATTAGTCTCTTATTACTTTTTTTTTTTATAGCATTCGTATCCTAGCAATGGAACGATCAATGGTGACATGTGACATTCTTGCATTCTATCAATTTGTTACCGAATTAACAGAATTTTTCTATAAGAATGATGCCTCAAGAATCACAAGTTCCAGGTGATCGTACAGCACCAAAAGCAAGTCTTCGTCTTGAATGGGTCTATGGTTATCGAGCAGCAAATTGTCGAAGTAATATACATTTAACTGAAAATGGTGAACTAGTTTATTTTTCTGCTGCTGTTGCTGTCGTTCAAAATATTCAAGATAAAGATCATTATCGACAACGATTTTTTCTTGGTCATGATGATGATATTATTAGTTCATGTCTACATCCAAATAAAATCATTATTGCAACTGGTCAAATAGGTAAAAATGCACAAATTTGTGTATGGAATACACAAGGAATAA